GTTCTTCATTTTTTGTAAGAGCTATTGGAAATTGAGCACCATAAAAAATGCTTAGACCTATTGAAAACGATTGATAATGATATAAAATGATATATACAGATGTCAAATATTATTGCTTACCTGAGAACACCACACACCATGAAACTGGTTTGCAAAATCGTTACACTTAAGTTCGCCATGAATTCAGGGAACTTTTCGTTCATGTAGTCCTTGAGGGACTCTTTTATTTCATCTTGGGTAGGATATATTACACACGGGAAAAGGTGTTTGACAATGCTAATATATACTTCCTGCAAAAATGTAAAAACAAAAGTGCTCAGAATATGCTAAAAAAAAAGCGCTCAAAATATGCCAAAAAAAAAAAGTGCTCAAAATATGCCTTTGCTTTCTATAATACTTATGTCCCACACTTTGGGCGAAAGATCCTTGCCTTGAATACCTTGAGTACCTTGAACGTTTCTATACCACATTTCATTTTTCAGATCTTGAAAATCGTCACTTAACTGCCTGATCAGGAGGTATATTTGGCGGTTTTGAGCGAAGAGACATTCTCTGTCCTTAGCTTCATGACAACGATGACTTGAATGAGCTCAAAAAGGTAATAAAAAAAAAAAAAAGTTTCAAAAAAAAAAAAAATTAGATCAAAAGATCGACATTCAAAAATCAAAAAAAAAAAAAAAACTTTTTATACCATCAAGATTATGTGAATGATTTTGATTGGAAGATTGATGATCAGGTGATGCCGATCTTCTATGTATTTGCTACAGCTGCGGCGATGATGATCATGATGCATAAGAGGTAGATTGAGAAGGTGATGGTTGCTTAGAATAAGTTGCTAGACAGATTGTCTGGAAGGTGATAGTTGCCTGGAAAAAGTTTGTTGGACAGATTGTCTGAATTGTCTGGATTGTCTTGATTGGGTTGGAAGGGATGATTGACGTTGCCTACTTCTACCACTCATTAGAAAAAAGTATTATGTGCACTTCTTATAGATCTAGTGGATTTGTCAGAATCAGAGTCATTGTTATAAGATGGTTGAGATAGTTGATGAGGACTAGCAATATCATTTGAATTATAATGAGAGCGTGTTGTATTGGTAGAAACAGCCGGATAAGGAGAGGGTGGGTTGTTATTAGAGTTATTTTCCATTTTTAAAATTTTCAAAAAGTAACCTTTCAGGTGCTAAAGCGATTAGACTTATATATCTAAAAAAAAAAGCTTTAAACAATTAGTAATAAAAATAAATA